TAAATACTTACTTTATTCTTCTAAAGTGCGTCAATTACGTGCGTTAATAAGTACGATTTTAGTTTAAATTTTCTACTAGTCCAGCAAGACTGATTACTTGTTATGTAAGATTAAATATGTACGTATTTAATTTAGGTAATATAATACTGTACTTGCCCTAGTAGTTTAAAACTCAATAAATTAAACCCTGATTTAAAAACACCTCGTTTTTTGTTTGTCCCGATCTGCCGATTTTTTTGACATCATGTACTGATTTAAAACAAATCGGACCTGCCAACACTAATGGTAACCGTCCTAGTATGGCACTGCGATTGTGTAACTCCAATGTGATTCATTGTCAACAGACAAGAAAAGAAACATCTTTAGACTTCTGACGTATGGTTTCGTAGTCTTGCGTAAATGTATCAGTATCAATTAAAAACTTGTTTTTATTATATTGGTATCGTATTGTAGATCACAATGTATTATCATTTATGAAAAATAACGCATTTGCAGAGCAATTATTTAGCGGCAACGCATCCTACCATAATTATAAAAAAAACTGTCACACTGCTGACTGGAGGAACCTCTTATTTAAAAACGGTAGCAGTAAAACGTAGTGAAAGGTAGAGGGAGAAACGTTATTATTTAAAAATATAGTAAAAGAAGAGTTAATAATTTTATTTAAATCTTTTATCGTTATAATTCGTCATCACTGTTCATACTATAATCTGCCTACAAAACATCTGGCTGTAGTTTAGGGGTAGGAGCCAACGCTTAGTAAAGTAAAGTAAAGTAAAGTAACAGCCCATATGACATCACACAGCTGGGCACAGGCCTCCCCAAATTTCTGAGATGGTTTTAGGGCAAGGAAGTGTCCGCCGCGCTGCCCCAATGCGTGTTGGCGAATTTCACATGTCTTTGAAATATTTTTTCCTTATTCCTCAGACATGCAGGTTTCCTCACGATGTTTTCCTTTGCCGCCGAACACGTGGTAAATCAGCACTTAAAATTGCAATTAACAATTTCGTTGGTGCCGGCGAGAATTGAACCCGGGTTACTCGCGTTCTGTTATATTTATTATTTACAGCGAGCGTTAACCATCTGAGCTACCACGGCTCTCTTAACATTTAATAAAAGCCGAACTATTTAAACGCACATTCAATTACCTATTTACTACTCTGTTTTCGGGTAAAAATTGGGAAAACAATGGTTATAAAAAAATCTTTTTTCAAGAACATGGCTTTAATTATCCACAACATACTTTATGTTGTTTAAATAAACCATATTTTAATAATATAGAAAAATCATTATACTCAATACCAACTTGCACCTTTTTCGAGAAAACATAAAAATCATAAGGTTGGGAAATGCTTTAGCTTTACCCCAAGAATATATCCATTAAGACTCACGCCTGTCACCCAGAGGGATAGGCAGAGACTATGGACTTCCATTTGGCACGATTCTGACACACCTCTCTCGCCTCCTTTACATCCAGAAACGAGTACCTTCAATATACGAGGGTGGATTGAAAAGTACTCGGCCTAACCAAGAAAATAAACACATACTAAATCAGTTATATTTTTATTTTTCTACATAATCACCATCAAGTTCAATACACTTTTGCCACCTCCCCTTCCAAGCATTTAGACCGTTGAAAAAAAATGATTCTTCCTTAGAGTCAAAATATGCGTCCACAGCTGCTTTGACCTCGTCGTTTGTCGAAAATCTTTGACCTCCCAAGTGCTTTTTTTAGGTTAGGGAACAGAAAGAAGTCTGATGGTGCCAGATCAGGTGAATACGGCGGATGCGGTAACAGTTCAAAGCCACAGTTGTGAATTTCAGCCATTGACTGTACTGACGTGTGAACACGGGCGTTATCTTGATGAAACAGGACTTTTCTTCTGAGCATTCCTCGACGTTTTTCTTTTATTTCCTCTCGTGAACGACGTAGTAAGGTGCAGTAGTAATCAGAGTTTATAATCTGACCCCTTTCAAGATAATCAATCATAATCTTACCTTTCGAGTCCCAGAATACTGAAGCCATCACCTTATTTGCCGACAAAATCGACTTAGCCTTTTTAGGGGGTGGTGAACCAGGTCTTATCCACTGTTTTGATTGTTGTTTTGTTTCCGGTGTACAGTAATGAACCCATGTTTCGTACATAGTAACAAAACGATTCAAAAAATCATCTGCATCGGCTTCAAATAACTCCAAACAGTCGCGTGAAATAGTCAATCGCGTCCTTTTTTGTTCAACTGAAAGCAGTCGCGGAACCTACCTCGCAGACACCTTGTGGAAACCCAACTCGTTGACAATGATGTTTTGCGTTCGTTCATAAGAGATGCCTATAATCTCGGCTATCTCTCTAATTTTTAATCTGCGGTCTCCCATTATTAAATCAAGTACTTTTTTAATATTTTCGTCAGTAGTTGACATCGAAGGCCTTCCAGAGCGGGGTTCATCTTTCACACTCTCTCTACCACGCTTAAATTCTGCTATCCATTTTTTGATGGATGAATATGACAGAGCACAATCGCCTAATGTACTGACCATGTCATCATGGATGGCTTTTGATGATAGCCCCTTCTTATGGAGGTACTTAATGACGGCACGCTGCTCGATTTGCTCCATTCGCGGAAATTATGTCCGATTACTTTGTTAATAAATTTATAAAATCACAACTAATTATCGCACACGTTTCGAACTTCACACAATGAACTAGTCTGAACTGAACTAAATAATGTGGGTAGATTTGATTTTTAGAATTGAATGGATCTGTGTTAGGCCGAGTACTTTTCAATCCACCCTCGTATCGCCATTTTGGTCGATAAACTTGTTTCGTCCCTTCTCGACTTTTCCGTTCACATCTGCAACATAAATTTGCTTTGACATAGAGTGACCAAGAATCTTCTTTAAATTAAACAACTATTTTAAACTATTACTAATCAATTACTTGCTTAGTCATTGGGTTTCCCAATGCAGTTATGAGCAGGACTTGTTTGACGCTGTAGCGCAGAATATAATAGGTAAACTTTGGTCGATCACCCGTGTGAAAAGTATGACATTACTTTTTAGCCGATGACCTGTTTTTTTATTCGTATACAACTTATGTTATGCGATATCTTCGCCAATTGAGCCCAGACTTGAAGATAGTTTTTTTTTTTATTAAATTGGTTTTTTTAATCAAATTTAGAGAAAAAATTTCACCCCTAAGGTTGACCACAAAACAGCTTCTTTTTAGTTCTTTGAAGTTCTCTTTTACTTTTTGTTAAAATAATTATTGGTAGTTAATGTTCTCATCGTCGTCGTCTCTCTGACACTGCATCGAACCTTCCTTCGATTTAGCTGAAGGTACACATATTTAGTGTATGGTAATGGTGCAAAAAAACCTTATTTTTTACTTCCTCCTTGGCCCTAAGTGGTCGTAAACATGAAATTACTGATCACGGGGTCCCGGGTTCTCATTTTAAGTCGGACAAAAATAATTTATTGGGTTTTTCTGTCCAGAAAATACAAGATACAAATACAAGAACTTAAAAATAAATTACACTTTTTTTATATTTACTTAAAAACAGATTAATGTGAGGAGGGTGTGGGGTCGCGGTGGTGTATTGTCTACAGCCCGGAATAGGGAAGTTGGCGGTATTTTAACACTGTGCCTCGGAAAGCATGTAAAGCCTTTAATCCTGCGTATGACGGATTACCATCCCATCGGACTATGAGAGAGAGGGAATGGAGAGTGCACATGTGCCTGCGCATACACTTGGACACTATAATCTTGTCCCGCGCAGATAGCTAGACTCCGCTGAGATTAGCCGTCGCGACCGGATTTCGGTCTGGGGTCATTATGATAAGGTTAAATAAATGCCACTATTATTAAACGTGCTCACCAAACCAACTTATAGATTGATTCATTAAGTTCTCAATTTTTAAAACGGGTAACTTCGATACAGTAATTTCCAGCTGTTATGGCTAAAACTACTTTAGTCAATAGAAACGTTATCTGTGTTAATTAAAAAAATACAATGTTTTCAACGCCTATTCAAAATTCGTGTTTATACTTTTGGGTATTGCCGCGTACAATTACGGCGGCTTAAGAGAATATGAGCCGTGTAGTGCCAGTGTAATAATATCCACTACCCCATATCTTCCCGTAGGAATCGTAAAAGGGAAACAAAAACGAGAGATGGGCAGCAGCATCTTCCTGATAACAACTCAAAATAACAAATCGTGGCGACTATAGCAATATTATAAACATTATTATATCTATGGTGGCGACTATAGCAATATCACCCCTATGAGACAGTCTATGGGGGAGGCCTGTGTTCAGCAGTGGACTTTAATAGGCTGTAATGGATGGATGAAGAGAATCTAGAGAATTTAAAAAATAGTGGTTTTTTATAGAATAAGGGTGACAAACGAACACACAGTCCACCTGATGGTAAGTGGATGTTGTGGCCCATAGACATCCTCGATTAAGAATCAAAACGCAGATGCGTTGACACTCCTGAGGTCTAAGATGGAATGCCTTGTTTACAGTAAAAAAGGAGCTCCGGATTTCTACACTACAATACGAAACGCAGCAGTATTAAGAAGCTATTTTACGCTGGTATTCGGTGAGAGCGTGGTCATTCCCCGGTCGAGTCGACCCATTAGTGGAACCATAATAAAGCTGCAGCGTGGCTCTACTACGTGTAACGGCTGCCAAATTGTCTGCCATCTATGGAATACGAGGCAACCTATGTTCCGGAGGACTTATGATGGGCTGCTATGATGATGATGATGATGTTAATTTTAATAATTGAAAATAATGATAATAAGTGTCTAACTATCAGAATTAGTTATTTGAAACAGGTTTAGTCCAAGTAACTTATTTGCATTTTACTTTGAATAAATTTAAATTTGAGGAGAAGAACCAGGGACGCTGTATTCTTTAAAAATCGTAATTAGGCTGTAAGTTTTGAATGACTCAAAAAATAACCTTAAGCCATAAACTCATATAAAACTTTAATTCCAGGGGAGCCAATTCGATATGATCCGGACTTTAGTGGTCCTACACGTAACCGGTCCTGCACCGACATCCTATGGCTGATTTTTTTCATTCTGTACCTGGGAGTATGGGGTTATATTGGCTATTACAGTAAGTACAATTGATTTAAACTTGCATTTGTAGACTGTAGATCGTAAACGTTATCATTAGAGGATGCAGAACCGGTCCGTATCTCAGAACCGGGTTTTTCGGTTCCGGGTCCGTACAGAACCGGGTACCCGGTTCTTTTCGGTTTTTAATAGTAATAAATTCCTTAGGGCAAAATAATTACATTCATTTGGTACTAATGATGATAGTGATGTGTATTTAATCAATTAAATGTGTTATAATTCTAATTACGTAGGCCGCACTGAAAGTTTTGCGCAACTTATTAATTAAAATATCTTATACCTTTAAACGAGCAATTCTTGTATATATATATATATATATATATATATATATATATATATATATATATATATATATATATATATCGGAATCCCGGAAACGGCTCCAACGATTTTCATAAAATTTAGTGTCCAGGGAGTTTCGGGGGGCAATAAATCGATTTAGCTAGGATTTATTTTTAGAAAATGTCTTTTTTTCCGTGTTTTCAGGCTATGAAAAACTGCTACAATATAAGAAGGTAAATTTTGACACTTTGTTAATGATCGTAATAGCTCAAGTGGATATCGAGCGGTTGTGAAATCGTAATGCCTTGGATCGCGTGCCGTCTTAAGTCCGACTTTTTTCCTTTTTTTTCAAGTTCCCTGCTTTTGTGAGAAAATCTATTACTTCGAGCACTTTTTTTAGGATTTTTTAAAAATACGAAAATATTTAATTAAACTAATTGCACTCATGATTTTTTATTTAAATAACCAGTTTAGTTTTTTCTATTATGTCAATAAGATCAAAAAATATTATTTATGTAATTTGTATCTAAATGAACTTAAAAAAACCGAGCAAAGCTCGGTCATCCGGGTACTTAAAAATTAAACTTAATTGATTAATTACACTTATTAAAAATTAATTGTAGTTATAAGTATATAACTATATTTTTTGTTTATCGAAGTATTCTCCTTTACATTTTAAACATTTTTTCATACGTTCGAGTCGTTTTCAAAACAATATGACCATTGGTCTGGAGGCATGTTTTTAACGTGACGATCAAACACCGACACTGCCTTGTCGGAACTTGTAAAAGTGAAGCCTCTCATCAAATGTTTAATTTAAGTAAAAACAAAAAAAACACAGGGTGCATGGTCCGGACTGTGTGCTGGATGGGTCACGACTTCTACTTTTTCAGAGGGCGAAAATGTTTTTGTTTTATTGGCGTTGTGCGAAGAAGCATTTTCGTGGTGTAAGAAGTGCGGCTTCTCGGTCTTCTTTCTCGTACTTTATCAAGAACAGCGGGTATACAAATGGTGGTGTACCACATGGCATTAATACTTCTTTGACCTTTAAGTGGGACTGTGTCAACGAAATCCATGCGCAAGAAAAAAATGCAATTTTTTTTTCCGACGTTCCTCGCCTGCTTCAATTTTGTCGGTCTGTTCTCGCTTTTAAACACCCATTTGCAAGTCTGTAGTTTTTTCTCTGGTTCAAAACAATAAATCCAAGTTTCGTTTCCTGTAATAATGTCGCAAACAGCATTAGAATGTCCATGGTCGTACCTAAGTAATATCTTTTTGCACCAATCCATTATCCACACGAGCTTGTTTTTGTTCTGAAGTCAGTTCATGGGGAATTCAACAACAACAAAGTTTTCTTTTTGTTTTACTTTTAATTCTTCATGTAGAATTTTTTTGAATTTGACTCCAACCAATCCCTAAATCTTCCGGAATCGTCTCATAGGTGATGCGTCTGTAGTCTAGAATTAGCTTCTTCCCAGTAGCCACATTTTCCTCAGTGGTCGTAGTTACGGGCCGTCCTTTACCAATTTCATCATGTAGAGAAATCCGTCCCCGCTCAAATTCGGCATACTATCGCCTCATGGTGCTTAGGTGAGGTGATTCCCTTCCAAAAGCATTTTGAAGGCGAACGGCACAATCTTGCAGAGAAAGATCACTTTTAAAATCATAAAATATCATCGCCTTAAAATCTTTTCGCGTTAATTCCATTTTCACTGCGCATGACGAAATTCAAAGTGTGATGAAAAACAAATGACAGATGAGTTTCCGCCTATTTTTTTAACTTATATTTTTTTTTAATTCGTAATTTAAGACACGTGTAAAAAATCATTCGAAATTGTAACAGTTCTGAGTGCAAAACTTTCAGTGTGCCCCATGTGTTTTAAACTCATCTATTTATGAAATAACAAACAGCTTGTCTTCTAAGCTTCATACAAATAAAATTTAGAATAACTATTCAAAGAAATTAACGGAGTAAAATTTTGATTTTACTCAGAGGCCTTACTTCGTAAAAAATATTTTGTTATATTTTATTTATTAAAATTATTTTTTTCTTTGGAAACAAAATCAACGAGATATATTTTTTACAGTCTCAGGATTTTGTGGTAATAATAAAAAAGCAACACTTTCTTACTGTCTCTCTTTCTTATAAAATCAAATAAACAAAAATAATTAAATTTAGTCATAATCAACACTTAAATACTTATTTTAGTGATGAATGTAACATAAGAGAGTCAAATAAAAAAATAGCTTAAATTTACCCCATTGAACAAGAACCGGGTAGAACCGGGTATCGTAATTTTGGGCCCGGTTCTTTTAGCTAACAAGCAACCGGGTATACCCGGTTTTTTTTAAACTGGGTAGAACCGGGTGCATGCTCTATTATCATAGATTTGTTTATGACGTTTTAAACAGTGAAGAAGGATTTTCACTAATTAAGTTTTTACCTGGTAAATGAAGAGCCACGCTGGAGCTTTATGATGGTAAGTGGCTGCTGTGGCCTATAGACATCTACATCTATCCTCGATTAAGAATCAAAATGCAGATGCGTTGTCACCTCTGAGGACTAAGATAGAATGCCTCGTTTCCAGTAAAAAGGGTCTCCGTTTCTCTACACTCACCATACGAAACACAGCAGCATTCAGCTGCTATTTTACACTGGAATTCTGTGAGATCACGCTCACGTTTTTACAGAATAGTAGCTTAATGCTACGTTGTGACGTACTTGTATGATAAGGTATTTGTCACCCACTTGCCACCACGTGGACTTTCTACTCGTTTGTAAAACTTACTTGTAATACACTTATATGTTATATATAGTTCCCTTGTGTAGGAATGCTACTACTTGCGCATATAACTGCAGATCATCAGCATACAAATGGTAAGAGCTCTTGAGATTTAGTGTGATGAGATTTATAAAAATGGAAAACAGAAGAGGAGAGATAATACCGCCTTGAGGGACGCCAATTAACACATCACGCTAGTCAGATAATGTATGTATAAAGGTAGGTCTACGCTAGACGAGTCGAGCACAAGCGGAGCATGAGCCCAGCACGAATTCGTGTAGTGTCGACCGACTTACAAGCCTCGAACGAGCGCGCTTCGAGCGTTTGGTTCGTGCTCGACTTTGCTCCGCCTACTGTCCGTTATACGTGCAGTGATACAGCGCCGATAGTAAATTTAATAAAACCAAGTTGTTTATAAATACTTTCAGGCATAACAAGAGGCAATGTAGAGACACTACTGGCTCCAATCGATTCGAAAGGACGCCGCTGCGGGTTGGATTCTGGCCTCGAGGATAAAAAATACTTGGTGTTTTTCGACCTCACGCGATGTTTGTCTCCAGGGACTCCTATTACTGGGTGCCCAACTCAGCAAGTGCGTATTCGGTATTCGCTCTATTGTATTACTCCGTGTTAAAAAGTTTTTGTGTGTGTGTAACTTCATTTTTAATCATTATAATAATAAGCCTATGTTTTAACTACCATCACACCTGATGGTTTGTGATGTATTCACTCTTGCTTTGTAGACATTGTAATCACATGTACATACAATAAAATACTGACCAATATTCCACTTCCCTGCTGTACGCTTGCTGGTGTTTGTCCGAGCATCTGGTTATCCGATGGTGGAAGAGACAGGTAAGAATTATATCATGCCATCACTGCACATACTTTTCGAAATGTAGGTATCCTGTAGAATACTGAGAGGTTATTTGCGCCTGTGTTTACGTCTTCGTCAAGCGTCAGAAATAAGCCCCTTAGCTCGCTTTTCCATTGAGTTAAAAGCTGTCATGTGGCATTTTGCAGCACCAGCCCATGTGTGTAAGCGATTCGCGTCGGATACTTCATGTTTTGCTTTTTTCTTAAGGACATTATCGTAACGATGTGAGGAGATTACTTGCACAAAATTACGGCTTTGGAACGATTAAGTCTTTATTTAGTACACTACAGAGCAAAATCATAATTTTAATGAAATTTTTTAGAGCGAAGACAATCCCTCCATAGCGTTTTACGAAAATATGCGTCAGAGTTATATTTCAGGTCGAATACAACCTTTTTGTAAGCTAAATTACTTTATTTTAAGCGTTATTATAACGGATTATATAGTCTTGTAGCCTACCAACCAACCCAGAGCCTAAATTACGAAAATATCGAAATATTTAATGTTGAAAAAAAAAAACAATACTATAAGGTCACTAAAACTACTATACTTCAATATAATTTTTTCGTGTAATTTGAATATATAAACTTATCTATTATAATTATTTTATTGTATTGTAACGCTAAATATCCAAATTTTTAACTCGTTTTATTTAAAGTTAAAAAGTTACAGCGTATATACGTCCCACTGCTGGGCACAGGCATCCTCTCATTTCTAAGAGGGTTTTAGGGCAAGGAAGTGTCCGCCGCGCTGCCCCAATGGTTGTTGGCGAACCTCACATGTCTTCGAAATATTTTTTGTCTTATTTCTCAGACAGGCAGGTTTCCTCACCATGTTTTTCCTTCACCGCCGGGCACGTGATAAATCAGCACTTAAAATTGCAATTAACTATTTCATTGGTGCCGGCGGAGATCGAACCCGTGACGCTCGCGTACTGTGAAATTTACAGCGAGCGCTAACCATCTGAGCTACTAGGGCTAATCGTTTTATTTAGTCAATTATTTTATAGGTAATAGGTCATAGGAAAAATAGTAGAGAGATTTGAAGTGCCCTTTAGCTGAGACAAATGCTAGAATTTAAGGCTGTTTTCTATATGCACAGTTGAGTAAATTGTTAAGTGAATAGAAATCGCTTTTCGCTTTTCGAATAAAAATCGAATTTACCGCCAAAAGTGCATCATCATAGTATCGGATGCAAGCTTATACACTTAGGTATATTATAGCTAGCAAAGATATCGGACCCTCGCGCATCACCGACATCCTCTTTACAAGTTCGTTATTGACGAGGGTCATCAACGTAGACGTTTGTTAAATATAGTTAATATTTCCCTCATAAAGTCTGAACACGCATGAATAAATTTAAAAATAACTTTATACTAACTAGCTTTTTGTGCCAAGATGTTACCCACGTCTAAGCTGTAACGTCCAGTCAGTCATGACCACCACATATTATAAGGCCGGATAATACGGAGAGCTCAAGCTATCACATAAAACTTTGTTATATTTCGTCGTGATGATGATCGCAGAATTTAAATTAGGTTAAGGTGTGTCGAATTGCGAAAACCGCTTTAACAATATTTTCCTTCGTACTCCAGTACATGTGTCCTGCTTCTTCAATAAATAATTTTCTGTTACAGCTGTACACTTGCAGAAATCCTTGCCTCTAAAATTCGCCATGCACAATCCTTTTCTTCTTTAAAAAAACCTACTCAAAACTTATTAATTGGAACTCTAATGTTTTGCACAATACTTCCTATCGTTTTTTGTATTTCTATTCTCTTTTCCTCACCGTCATCATCTTGTTTTTTATTTTTATTTTTAACCGTATAATTTAGGTATACCTTCCTCATACCACTTCATAGGGCATTTTGACATGTATACGTGGAAGAAAAGTATTTTGTCCACGTGGAAGTTCGTCTACTTACAGCAACTAACAGGGGAGTCTCATTAATTGTGTGAACCCTATAAAATTTGTTTTAAATTAACCTGTAACTAGCTATTATTGCAATAATTTTTTTGTGCATTTGAGTGCACTAAGTAATATCACAAGCTCATAGTGACAACTAGACTGTCGTCTAAACAGTAACGTTTAATAACCGGTCAAGTGCGTGTCGAACTCGCACACGAAAGGTTCCGTATCATTGTAAAACACGTTTCTAGTAGGGGAGCCCCTTCAATTTTTAGTTTATGTTTATTTTTAATATTTGTTGTTGTAGCGGCAACAGAAATACACATTATGTGATAATTTCAACTGCTACTTATTACGGGTCATGAGATACAGGCCGCTGACAGACGACGGACGGACGGACAGCGGAGGCTTAGTAATAGGGTCCCGTTCGTTAGCCTTCGGGTACGGAACCCTATAAAGCGATAACATTTTTCTTAATTTTTTTATGGGAACACCCCTGAAGTATTATACTTATTTATAAGAATCATCAAAATCAGTTCGCAATTGACAAAGATATCGCGTAACATACACGCAAATGACCACACATAGGTATTGAAAACCTCCTCCTTTTTTGAAGTCGGCTAAAATACTAATCCCGACTTTACTAATATTTTATTTTCCTAATCCCGACTTTATTAATATTTTATTTTCAGTGGGTTGCCGTTTTAAAGAGTAAAAATAAGGAGTTGGTGACATTCGCAACATACGTAGATAAACCATTTAGGACTTTCTTGCCGAATAATTGTTGACTTTTAAATTGAATGATAACCTTATCCGCTATTATAGAAAAATGGCTGCCGGATTGCTCCATCTAAGCATTTACAGCTGTGATGTTGAGAGTGTTTGCAGGAATTGCATGGCTTAGTTCTCCCTCCCTCCTATACCAGCGAGACCGTCTAGTTTCATTGATGTCGACATACCACGCATTCGAAGATTCGAACCGAATGTTTAATAGCAGTTAAAGTCTTCAAACGTCCTATATAGTCCCATATGGCCCGTAACTTTACCACACCCATATATGGTATGAGTTAATTTTTCATACGCTGCAATCACGCTTTTTTTATTTAGAGATTATATTACACGTATTTTATTAACTGCAAAAAGTATCAAGCTCTGAAAATATTTTATATAATATTGGAATCTCGGCCAGAAAAATAAATAGTGCGTTACTAATGTATGTCTTAATAATTAAAAATATTTCGAGGACATAGGTCCGCTAACACGTATTAGGACAACAACAACAATAACTAAAACCCTTTCAAAAATAAAAAGGACTTTTAGGAAGATATAGATACTACAAATGTAAGCTTACTCAATTTTCTCTATTTTGAAAAAAAAAAGAAAGTATTTTTACATGCGAAACATTAAAGGTATATAACCGCCTTATTTTCCAGGTCTGCGTCAACAGGTGCCCGGACCAAACAATCATGTTTCAAACAAAAATAAGTGACGCGTCAAGCTTTGAGCAAGTAAGATCCAGCATGGTCTGTACCGATGATGTAAATGTGCAGACCATGACGTATACTCAAGCTTTACAAAACATTAAAGATGAAAAATGCGCCAGTTATGTAATAAGAAGTGAACCAGGTAATTATTTTGCAATTAAAACATGTTATGCGACTTTTGTAAACATGAATCCTATATAAAATTGTTTTCATTACTTATTAATTATAAATTATTTGTTTAATTAAACTGCTAATATTATTGCGCTATACCGTGGGTGAGCGTGTGGCATGATTTTTTTTAATTCGTGGTGCCTCCTAACCGACTCCGATCAGATGTAATAACTGCGCTTCAGTGTTGTTCCGCTGCATCGGCGACCTGTCCACAATGCAATGCAAGGACATAAAGCCGGTGTCGAAGTGGACTAACGGCGTAAAAGCAGAGCAGACCTGCGTTCGGAACCCAAAAGAGGCACAGCGGTCTTTGCTCAACAGCGCAACGGCTCTGGACTCGTACGTGGGTTGGATAGCCGCTAGCTGGGTGACTTTCTTCACGAACAACGAGCGGGAGACACACGTTGTAGGTAGACAACATGTGGCCCAGTGCCGATATGCACGTGTAGACTAACCCTTACAAATTTACCTGTTCCGCATGAGCACTGCTTTTTACTTATTAACATTGTATGACACTCCTCTAAACGCTACGAGCAATAACAAAAAATATTTAAAATTAAAATTCAATTAACACCGATCTGTGGTCGGCCGGTGCTTGCGCAGTGATTGGACGGTGCTTCCCTTTCATCTCCGAGGCCATGGCAGTGTTCCCCGAGATCAACGATAACTTGGTAGATATGGAGCAAAATGAGGTGCTAGAACAACTTGCCAATTTGATAACATTCGATCAGGTAGAGTACTTGAAGTATATGTAAGGATTTAAAATATATATATATATATATATATATATATATATATATATATATATATATATATATATATATACAATATGTAACATAATTAACGCACTTTGAGAAAGTAGTTTGTTCAGAAACGTTTACTGAATCGATTCCTATCATTTTTAATATAGGTAATTTTTTATCCCAAAATAATTAAAACTACGTAAATTACAGTCACATTAAATCTGTACAGTCAAAACAAACTGAAATGGACCTTAAGTTATGGCAATAAGACTTTTAATAGTGCAGTTTTATTTGTATTATTACTAATTCTGTCATTCAATAAAAATAAAGAAAAATGAACTTTATTTCAAGCACGTTAAAGTCTTTGTGTTCGTGGATTTGTACTGTGACCACAACATTCTTTTGGAATTAGTATAACTAATTTGATAAATAATTAGTGCATAAAAATATTTAACTAAAAATTCAGTGTATGTATTATGATTATAACATAATATACTAATTGGGGTGTCTGAGGGTGTGCGTTAATTACGTAACATATTGTAATAATAATAAAACTAATAGCTTAATCTGCAGTATCACTATTGTATAATTATTTGAATGACCATTTCATTTTATTAATAGATTCTTCACTTGTATACTTACATTTCATGACAAGCTACACACACAATAAAATTCTAATAGTCTATATTTTATTTCCAAATAGTCAACCTCCAAATGTTTCTGTTTGTGTATACTTTTCTTTGATTTTAACATAAATCTAACGTTATAAAAATACTTTGCCTTTCAATGCAAACGCATTAAAAGAAAACAATATTTTTTTATAGCATTGGGTGACAAACGAGCACCGAGTCCACCTAATGATAAGTGGATGCTGTGGCCCATAGACATCCACATTGATCCACCTCAACTAAGGATCAAAATGCGTTGTCATCCCTGAGGACTAAGATGGAATGCCTCGATTCCAGTAAAAAGGGTTTCCGGTTCTCTACTTTTTACGGTATTCTGTAAGAGCGTGGTTCTGCCCCGGTCGAGTCGACATATTCGTGCTACAACTATAATATAGCTGCAGCGTGCTCTACCGCATGAGTAAACTTTGTGGGTCTACCACGTAACTGACATAACATTTACGCAATTTGTAGTTATTACCATTATAAGTCTTAGTTATTATTTTTACCCACGCAGACGAAGTCGCTGATAAAGCTAGTTTAAAATAAATATGAAATTTATTATAACTGGCTAGATAGTAGATAGCTGTTAAGTAACTTCTAGTTAAATAACTCAGACACAATCTCTAACAATGCATGTCTGTATAGTAAATGTAGTTTATATTCGTTATGGTGTTAGTTAAATACTCGATGTGACAGATACTTATTTTGAAAAGTAATTTTTGAGCATACCTAACAATTTAACCTCGCATGGCTAGACTAGTCGTCGTTTAGTGGTTGCGGCATAAGAGAATTCACTACTTCAAATCATCCCGGGTGGGTTTCATTAATGGTGGTACAGGGAAATGGAACAGGAGATGGTCAGCAGCATCTTCCTGATAACAACCTGGAATAATAAAAAACTGGGGTTGCAAACCCGCTAAACCTCGCCACCGTGGCAAATATCTCCTCTAATTGGGCAATATATGGGAGAGATTTGAATGAAATAATATTATTTCTGATGAACTATCCAATAGGTAATTATATTTATAAAAAATTTATAATTATGAAATGATGCCATTTCTGACAAGCAGAACCACTTCGCAATCTGTTAATGTTTATAAATTTAAGTCTCTTTTTCCTATAACAATCCGTTATAGGACTCTAGACGCTTAGCAAGCGTATCGTTTATAAAACACGCTGCTCTTCATTGCCTGTCCGGGATATATAAGCCATGGTAACTCAGGAGTTAACCGCTTCATAACACTCTGAAAATGAGGCATATGCCCAGCTCAGTGTGATGTAAACCGGATGTAATTTTTCTTTTATTTACAAAATGTACGCCATCTATCAGAGAATATGATGTCTTTCTGGTCTTCACCATAATCGCTCGTACGACACCCACGAAACGGGGGGATGGTTAAATAGGTATCTACTTTTATTAATATTTTCCTTTACTATACGTAATAAATGGGTACCAATATATAGTTATTTTTCAAAGAGTATGAAAATTTTATATTTAAGTTAAATATATATAATGATATACCGTTATTGCGGTTTTTGAATATACGACTAAATAAGGCTTATACTTTTATTTGTAATTCACAAAAACAAATCCCAAATTGAATGTGATTTTTGGGCAAAAACTAAGTACTTACACGTACTCGTACCTCCTTGTGTACGATTCAATTCATAACGTTTGTATATTCTAAGTCTATGGTTTAAATAATGCATTACCACGCGTTCTGAATTTTAAAGATAAAAAGGACAGAATGTTTAAAAGTTTTTATTTAATTTCCCTTTCCCAGAACCATTTCGCCTATATTACTTATTCTGAACCTTCTCTGCAAATTTGAGCGTATATTGTAAAATAACCCCGTACGATCGATTTCTTAAATTTTTTTGGCAGCTATCATCACAAATAGTGCAAGACTTGGTGCAGTCGCGATGGTATATGGCGGGGGCAGTGGTGGCCGTGGTCATAATCTGCTTCATATACATCCTGCTGCTGCGCTGGCTGGTCGCGCCTGTCGTATGGATTTCCATCGCTGTACTACAGGTCCTGTTAGGATTTTGTAAGTTCTTGTCGATTCGCATTAAAGTCGGAGTTATACCCATGCAATGAAACTTTTGGAAGGTGAAGATAACCGCAATTTTCAGACAAAATATAATCAAAAGCAAGAAATACAACGCGGAAGCTTGTTTATTCAAAAAGTGACCAACGAGCATATAGACAAGCATCTCAACATCTATCATCGCTTAACAATAAAAATACAAACGCGTTCTCATCCCTGAGGACTAAGATGGAATACCTTGTTGGCAGTAAAAAAGGGTTATCATTTTTTTTAATTAAAAAAAGAATATTAACAATGCTATAAACATTACTAATATTCCCCTCAACCACTCGTGGTAAGCTTAAATTGCTAGTATTACGAGTGGTTCACGCCAATAGTCGAATGGCGGATTCGAACCATCGATCTTTTTGAGTTCGCGGTCCGCGCCCTGCCGTTAGGCTACAGTCGCTTCTATTCCTCAACAATTATCATATTCTACTGTTTTACGCTGGTATCCATCGATGTTGCTGATTTATTTTTTTTATAAGGCATAATATGTAAGTGCTTGAATAAAATACTTTTTTTTTTAAAGATATGAAACATATCTTGAATTCGTTACCCAGACAGGTTAAGGTGTAACAAAATTGTTTTTAAACAAACTCAAACTGTTTTCGCCGTGTAGTGGAGTATCCACTGCCCCATATCATCCCATGGGTGCCGTAAGAGGCATTAAAGGTAATCAAAGCAGGAGAATGCTTACAGTATACATAAGTACCTTTTTTATGTATATCATCATCACCATCATTACAGTCCTTCACAAGTCCACTGCTGAACATAGGCCTGCCCCAAGTAATGCCACAAAGCAATGTCCTGAGTCGCCTGCATCCATCGACTTCCTGCATGTCTTATCAGGTTGTCACTCCATCTAGTGGGGGGTCGCCCTACGTACGAGGCTGCCACTCGAGAACCTTTTTTCCCCAACGGTTGTCGGTTCTTCGAGCTGTATGGCCGGCCCATTGGCACTTCAGCTTACTACTCCGTTGGGCTATATCGGTCACTCAGGTTCTACTGCGGATATCCTCATTTCTAAGTATATCACGCAGAGAAACCACGAGCATAGCCCTCTCCATAGCTAGTAGTAGTAGTTTAGCAGCGGATTTCTGATAGGCTAGTTACACATAGAACTTTCGTAATGTTTAGTATAATTTTCAGCTGAATTACGAAATATTTATTATAATAAACATAAATTCTCCATATGGTTTACATAGGTAATTAAATTGTTTCAGCCATTTATTTATGCTACAAGAATTATATATATTATCGCAACAATCCAGTGACTCTCATCCAGACATCAAATTTGAAGGGCTACGCGCAATCCATATTCACCAAACAGGAAACCTGGATGACCTTGCTCGTTGTGTTGGCTGTTGTATTAGTCATACTTCTCGTTATAGTAATATTCCTGAGAAAACGAATTACAATAGCTATAGCGCTGATAAGAGAAGGGAGCAAGTAAGTAATTGTTCAATTTATTTCGTATCATTTATCGAATCTTTTCTTAGAAGTTTTTTAGAAATATATATATTATAGAAAACTTTATTACCTACTTAGTGCTCGTCCGATAACAATTTATTTTACTCTAACAAAAAAACGCTTTGACCTCGTGTTCCCGCGTGACCTCGAGCTACGCATAGTGTGCGAATGAGTTCGCATAGTGTGCGAACGAGTGGCGCGGGAAAGTGGAGACGAAATTAGAATTTGAGCTGAGGTAGTATAGGCCGTTAAGTTTCGATCGTAGTAACTTTACTTATGTAACATTATGCAAAATTATGTCTCAAATTTTTGTTTTTATTTCAATCTTTAAAATAATAAATTGACGATTTATTGTTTAAACCAAATTTTAAACTTAAATTAAATCAAATTTTTACAATGCTACTAACAATTTCGTTTGTTTCGATTAGGATCAAACTTTGGCGTGGTATGTGGATTGTGGACACCTTTTTCTTGAGCGTGGTAGAAATTTACATCGCACTCAAGCGTCCGCTGTAAATTTCACAGTAGGCGAGCCGGGCTCGATCCGCGCCGGGTCCAATAAAATTAATATTTGCAATTTTAAGTGCTGATTTGCCACGTGCTCGTCGGTGAAGGTAAACATCGTGAGGAAACCTGCATGTCTGAGAAATAAGAAAAAAAATATTTCGAAGACGTGAAGTTCGCCAACACGCCCCAATGGCAGCGCGTCGGACATTTCTTGCCCTAAAACCCTCTCAGAAATGAAAGGAGGCCTGTGCCCAGCTGTGGGACGTATATAAGCTGTAATTTAACCCCAAGGAAAAAACTGGATATTGTCAAATGTTGCCTTTAAACCGAATACTGAATTAGCAATTGAGTGGAGTACTTAAAAATATATTTTTTGTTGTGATTTATCTCCAAAATTAAAGAAATGGGGCGTCGTGAAAATTGTCAGTTTTTAACCGTCTCTGTTACGGGGTCAATCTCGAAAACTAAACTATTTATGAATGTGACATTACAGTATATAATACTGAAAAAAGGAATCGATTTATAATGTATTTTGTAAGATGAATTACCAAAACAAACGAGCATTTTTTAGTTTTGTTAACTTTCACAGGTGGTTGAAATGTTTAGCTCGGAAGCAATATAATTCATTTGTCATAATACATACGGAACCCTAATAAAACGAGGCTCGAATCGCGCACTTGATAAGTTTTAGTTGTCTTCAATATCCGATTAAACAATCCATAACCTTTGCAGCCTAACAAAGTTCTCTGCTGAACATAGGCCCCCTCCACAGATTGCTTTATGAGGGGGGGGGGGGGAGTTAATTACCATAGTTAGTTGCCTTATTAATGATAGGAAGGTATTAGTGTCCTACTTTCCTATCATTAAGAGAATTTAGACGCTCAACAGGCAAATTAGCGATCATAAGAAATATTAAAATTCTTTACTAATAGAAAAAAATAAAGTTGAGTGTTTGTTTTGATTTTAAATCATCAAAAACTCATAGTGTATTTAAAAATTACAACTCTTCGGATGGCAATCGAAGTTTGTTTTAAACTTTTCCAGTTATCTTTTCAATTGGTTCATAACAGAGAATTGTAAAGTAAACACAACCGAGTTTATAGAAGAAGTACGTTCCGAAAAGTACAGAAATTTGTAATTTAAGTTTCAGTGAAAATTATTTAATTTAATTATATCAACTACCACCAGAGATTTTTCCGAACCGATACGACTAAGGGACTTTCAAGAAACGAGCCTACGTCTTTTTAAAAGGCCGGCAACGCATCTGCATTCAACTGGTGTTGCAGCTTTTCATGGGCGGCGGTAATCACTTACCATCAGGTGAGCCGTATGCTCGTTTGCCCCCTCTCCTATAAAAATAATAATAATAATATCAGTTTCGGAGTTTTAAAGAATACCTAATAAGATATAAAATAGATGTTGTGGGTACTTTATATTTACCTCTTGCATACTTTATTATTTGAAAGTAAAGTACAGATTTATAAGTGCTAGTGCAGTCTTAAATTAACTACCCAAAAGGTTATGATTTCTTATATTTACGCGAACACTACACATTGATTAAAACTACTTTTACGGATTTTATCGCGTTTATTTTACTATTATTTTTAATTCCCGACGTTTCGGGCGCTTTCCAGCACCCATGGTCACGGGGGACTGAGATGACTGACGTCCCGATGTCATTGTTAAACCCGGAGTATCTTCAGCTTTTTTTTAATTATTGTTTATGGAATTAAAAAAAAATTAAAAAAAAATAAAAAAAATTAAAAAAAAAATAAAAAAAATGTTGAAAAAAATAAATGGTACTCCGGGTCTAACAATGACATCGGGACGTCTGTCATCTCAGTCCCCCGTGACCATGGGTGCTGGAAAGCGCCCGAAACGTCGGGAATTAAAAATAATAGTAAAATAAACGCGATAAAATCCGTAAAAGTAGTTTTAATCAATACCCAAAAGGTTATGAAGCCTATTTTTGTAGTAATCATAATTACCTAAAATTTAGTAGCAACACTTGGGTTTTTTATAGGAGTGGGGGCAAACGATCACACGACTCACCTAGGTACTAATATGGCCATGTGGTGGTGTAATTAGGTCCATCACCCATGGCCACTATAGTAAATGGCAGAAAATTTGTATCACCTTCGATAGATAACGATAGATGGCCAATGATTATTTTTTATAGATACGTTATATACTCACAGAACCACCGAAAAAAGTGTCGTCCCAGCGGCATCACACATACAAATTGAATGTTTTACTTACATTTCACCACATTCTCTCTGAATCTTCGTGTTCTCGCACCAGTTCTGGAACGTCTATTGTTTTCCTTTTCTTTAAACTTAGTAATCATGGCGTCATTTGTTAGCCAAGGGCCGGAGTGACTAATTCACCACCTTCAGACGTTTCAATTTTGGCGTGCTAGTAACGTTACCTACCCTACCTTTTTATATATAGGTAAATATCATTGGGTATAGTCATCTTACTTACAAGATCGGTAACGGGCAGCAGGGTCAAAGAAGCAAGACGTCTGTTGCCGCGATCAATCCGTCTACTTATCTTATAGGCATGTATTCACTTTAATTAGTGCGAGTGCAGTTGATTAGTGCAGGTGTGTTAGTGTAAGTAGTGTCCAATTCTGTTTAGTGGCTGTGTTTAGTTAATTTAGTTGTTAGCCTTTGACCAGCGAGTACTATGTTTAACTTTCTTGACCTCTAGCGAATATATAGATCTCAAGTTTCTTATTTTAGTATAAACTTCTTTACTTCCGAACCCCGGTATGTTCATAGCTTAACTTATACGTAGAAATGTCACATTTCCGGCTCCTTTAATTTTGTAGTTAGGGAATTTACTATTGTAAAGACATTCATTTTTTAGATACTTCTGCACAAATTTCGGTCCACTTTGCCATTTTTGCAACATAAGTGAACGACCACCTTCCTTCGCATTTAAAATAAATTAGATCATTTTCAATTTTTTATTACCTTACCTACTAAGTATTTTCAAAATAAACAATCAGTGAATTCCGTTGTGTTCGACCGAAAACCTGAATTATATTTGATTCTTACCGGCTTATTTACTAACGAAATATACAGAAACGTAACATTATATCATATTATTTAAGCAAACTTTAAATTTATATGTGTATTAATATTGTTTCTTTGGATTGTCAACATGTCTTCATTATTTCTATTTAATTAAAACCACGAAACAGAATTCGAGTGAATTTCTAAAAATCTAAATAGTGCTACTAAAGCTATTGTTAAGTAAACTGCTAAAATGTATAAAACCCTCAATAATGATAATTAATGTGATATGCTTCTCATTGACAGAAAGCAAAAAAAAACAAGTTTTTTTAAATCATATAATGCAGGACGTAAAGTAAATTATCAATTCGCCTGTCAATGTTAACGATTAAAAGATTCGTCGATTGATAAATGTTTTTATTCAAGTTGTTCTGTTTTTTTTTATTATTTCAGGGCAGTTACTGCTATTAAATCAACGATACTCTTTCCAATATTGCCATGGATATTCCAGTGCGCGGTGATTGCATACGGAATTTTGGTGCTTATGTACTTACTGTCTGTAGGGGATCCGGCATATAGAGTTGTCAACCTAAAAAATGACGCCAGTTGTGACTGTGGCGGCGTTTACACAGAGGTTTGTTATTAGAATTAAAACTAAAAAAATATATTTTATAAGATATTCATATTTTACTACCTAATTTAGAAAAATATACATTATGATTAATGAGTGTACTTTTCCTTCATGAAAACCTTATCAATGTTCAATAACACCCCCTACTTTCCATACAAACGAACTGAATTAATTACCTACTATAACAAAATAAATAATAGTACTACGTAATACTACCACTACAAGAGCACCGACCTAAATAAACTGGAAAATGTCTTAAATTACCCTAGTTAAACTACTATTGGGTCTGGAACAGATCGAAATCTGTTAGAATCAGTATTACCATAACCTAGTTATTTTTAATTTTTAGGATTACGTCAGTTGCGAACCGTTAACTTTCACACAAATGTGTCGTGATACGAGCCAGGGTGTAAGCTACCAACAGCCCTGCCGGCTTGCTTCCTGCCATTTTACTGGAATCGAAAATCCGAATAGTGTCACCTATATGCATCGTAAGTACTTCTTATAGAAACAGAAACAGAAACTTTTATATTCAATGTAGATTATAACAATACTTATTGAAAGTCACTTTTTTTCATTTACCACTGGTTCGCAAAAAAAAACCTCTGTCCTGGGAAGAACCAGCAAGAAACCCAGCGGGACTATTTTTTTTTCCCGATAATAGCTTACAATCATGTTTACAATTAATAACACAAGACAAATTAGAAATAGCTTGGTAGCGATCACCCTTCCCAGGGGTTATTATCATCCATAAATTCCTTAATATTATAATAACCCTTTTTATACAAACTTAGTTTAATAACATTTTTGAACTTTGTGTATGACAAATTTTGTATATTTTCTGGGATTTTGTTGTAAAAGCGTATACATCGCCCCAAGAATGAATTACTGACTCGGTGGAGTCGAGTAACTGGTATTACTAGCTTGTACCAGTTACTAGCAGTTTCTAGTATTTACAGAATGAATATCACTTATTTTCGCAAAACTACTTTTATTTTTGTGTACATTACATTTTCATAAATGTGGTGAGAGGCCAGAGTTAACATATTAATTTCCTTAAATTTTTGTCTCAGTGACTCTTTTGGATTATATATTGCTCTAATGGCCCTCTTCTGTAAAATAAATATGATTTCAGTGTCAGTCGCGTGTCCCCATAGCAAAATACCATACGACATAATGCTATGGAAATAACTAAAGTTCAACACTGGTAAGAGTTCTAATCTTTTTTTAAAGTATATGCTGCAGAACTAAGTCTGCTAGCTAGTTTTGATATATGGGGGGAGCCATTGGAAATTATTAACATTAAACCAATTGACTAACTTAGCTATAGCATTATTTACTTCGTCGTAATTTAATAACTGTCGCTTTAATTTGAAAATTAATGAAGTATGTATCATCAGCAAATAATACTATATCATGGTTATCCCCTACTATGTAAGGTAAGTCGTTAATATATACAAAAAACAGAACGGGGCCGAGAATTGAGCCCTGAGGCACGCCCATTTGTACAATCGACCCGGAAGGACTCATACAACTAATGACAACTTTTTGCGTTCTGTCACTTAAATATGAAATAATTAATTTAAGAGCATCGTTTCTTACACCGTAGTGCTGAAGTATAAGTAATTATTATTGAATACATTTGTATAATTAAAAAATATATCCACGTACTCATTGGTGAAGAAAGCGTCTGGGGAGAAATATAATTTAGCGAGAGGATATTGATGTGAACACGAATTCTTTCCGTTGCAACATTGCATTTTACTCGAGTAGATTAGTGTTGCTTTAATTTCCCTACCATAAAAAGTTAAGCATCAACCTGCATATTATGCCAAAACTGAAAAGCTCGTAAGGGTAATAAGTATAAAGAGAGAATTCTACGTAATAATATAGGTTAACTATGATGGAAAATACTTTCAAAACTATTTAAACAAATTAAGTACTCCTTAGTAACGACTTCACGATATAAAAAAATCATGGTACGCGTTAAAAATATTTTTATAGAACGAGGGTGACAAACAAGCATACAGTCTACCCGATGCTAAGTGGATGCTGTGGCCCATAGACATCTGTCCTCGATTGAGAAACAAAATGCAGATGCGTTACCACCCCTGAGCAGTGAGCACTAAGATGGAATGCCTCGTTTGCAGTAAAAAGAGTCTCCGGTTCTCTACACTCGTCTTACGAAAATAATAAAATAAAAATATTTTCTATTTTAATACAATGTCGGATATAATTCTCTTTTTGTCCGTGAATATTACAATCAGCCATTCCGAAGCTCGTACAGACAGAGAGACAAACGAAAATTCTATAATCGCAATGGCATGTAAATATTTTATACAAAAATATTAACAAACACAGTCAACAATAATTATGAAGAGAACTCTCAGAACGCATCGTAGCTCACAAATAAGCAAAGCCAGACTGAATATTTTTGTAGTTTATAGCATTTTATATTAGCAACAAATTATAGTAATAAAACTAAGAATAGGGCAGGAAACTAGCCCTGGAATACAGTTATTATATCCTAGTTTAGGGGCTAACCACCACTGTAAACTTTGTGCATGTAATATGTTTATCAATAAAGATTGTTATTATTATTTTGTTTATCATTGATTCCAATAACAATTTAGGCTAAAGTTATAGAATGTACGAAAAACGTGTATCGCAACGTATTTTTTTGCAGTCTTTACCGTTGGGTGTGAGTATAGATAGAGACAGTAATGAGAGCGAGACGTAAATAGATGCAATACCATTTTCAATCCCATTCATTTAACCGCACGAGTAGTACCGATACCGATACAACTTCAATATGTGGTGTTGTACCCTCATTCTTAAAACTCTATTTCAGTTGGTAACCTCTTGGGTTTCTTCTGGACGATGTTCTTCATTAGTGGAGTAGCAGACATGATGCTGGCGAGTACTTTTTCGACGTGGTACTGGACCGCTCACAAGAGAGACGTGCCTTTCTTTACTCTCACCTCTGGCATCTACAGGACATTGCGGTGCGTACTATGTGTATACATTTTTTTAAGTATACTTTGGCATAACGTCTATCCCTCTTGAGTTTAAATGCTATGTTATAGTCGGAAAACTGATTTGTAATTAGTGTAATGTTTACATTTGTAAGGTGGTATACCCTACAAATGTAAACATCAATACTGAAAACAAAGATACTGACGGGTTAACATAGTTATTCCCATTTATTTATAAAGCTATGTCTCTGTGATAATTATGTAAGCCATATTTTCGCGAAAACCTCGCTTACATTTAGTTTTTTAAAAATCCGGTGTAAACATTTCTCTTATAACTTGTTGACACTCGAACAAGAATAATGTCCTCCAGACCGAATTTCGGTCACGGCGTGGCGGCCAGTCTGACACGGACTAGCCATCTGCGCAGGACAGGTTTATAGTGCAGCGTGTGTGCGCAAAAGAAACACTAATGCACTCTCCGTTTCCTCGCTCTCAAAATGCAATGGGCAAGCAATCAAACACGACTGGAGAGAGATAAGGCGCAGGATATTTTTTATAGAATAAGGGTGATAAACGAGCACAGTCCACCTGATATCTATGGGCCACAGCATCCACTTACCATCACGTGGACTGTGTACTCGTTTGTCATCCTATTCTATAAAAAAAATTAAACTGCTATTTTACGCTGGTATTCTGAAAGAGCGAGGACGTACCCGACCGAGCCGACAAATTCATTCTACAACCAGCTGCAGCGTGGCTTTAGCACGTAAAACGGCTTTACGTGCTTTCCGAGGCACGAGGACCGCCTACTTCCTCCGGTCCGGGTTCTCGTCAGAAAAACCCAATAACTGGTTTATGGCTCGACCCGGGATAACATGATCGGCAGTCGAGCTCACGACCGCTAGACCAACTAAAATAATGATGAAAAATAAACAAATTGATGTAGAGCATTGTTTAACCTTGCAGCTACCACCTAGGAACTGTAGCTTTGGGAGCATTAATCATCGCTATCGTCAGAGTTATTCGAGTCATTCTGGAGTATCTTGACCATAAACTAAAAAAGTTTGACAATTCATTCACGCGCTGCATTATGTGCTGCTGTAAATGTTTCTTCTGGTGCCTGGAAAACTTCCTCAAATTCATTAACAAGAACGCTTATATTATGTGCGCGGTTCACGGAAAGAATTTCTGCACTAGCGCAAGGGATGCCTTCTCCTTACTTATGAGAAATATCGTGAGGGTTATTGTACTTGACAAGGTAATATTATTCAATACTTTTTACCAAGTTTTTGATATTACACACGTAAATTTGTTTTATGTATCAGGTAGTTTTACGTATGATATGACCGTTTTGTATGTGAAAATTAAACATTTAAAAAAAAACTACATACACGAGGGCGACACCGAAAGTTTTTAGAACTGGCCACTTGTAAACGATATAATAAAAAATAAGTTCAAATTTTGAAAATGGAACTCTGCCAGTATTATTGTGTATGTTTTTATTAATTTGTCATTTGTTTACGATTTGGCGGCAAATTAAAATTGTCTGTGTCATGTCATCATGAATTTTACGCAAGAAAATTTTCATACAATGATTTTTTATGACTTTCGATGTCATTTAAGTCAACAAGAAAGTAATGATAGACTTCGATTGGCCTTTCACGATAAAGCCCCATCTCGTGTCACTGTTTACAACTGATTTGATGAGTTTAAACGTGGTCGCACTAATCTCACCGATGATCTGCGTGAGGCACGGGCTTCTACGGTGACAACTGAAGATAACATCGTGTTGTAAGGCGTATGATAGAGACTAACAAAAGAGTGACTTATCAGCAGATTTGGACAAGCTAAGGCATCGGTATGAGTCAAGTGCACAAAATCCTCCATGAACATTTAGCAGTCAGGAAGCTTTGTGCCCGGTGCATACCTCATAATTTGACAGAGGCCCAAAAACTCCGTCGTGTTAATTGATGTCGTGAAATGGTTCAAATGTTTAATGGAGGTGACTCAAATGCTGTGTTCGACATACTTACGGGTGAAACTAAGAGACAGTCTGCTATCTGGGTGTTTCCTTCCGAGGAGTTGCCAACTAAAGTGAAGAGATCGAGGCTGGGAAAAAAGATGGTTGCCTCGTTCTTCGGAAGGACAGGTCATTACGCAACAATAATTTTAGAGAATCGAAAAACAGTTACTGCAGAGTGGTACCCTAACAATTGTTTGCCACTTGTCTTGGAAAAAGTTCAGGAGAAACGACCTCACAGTAGGATCCTCCTTCACCACGACAACGCCTCGTCGCACACCGCCAAGCAAACAATCGACTACTTGGCGACGTCAGACGTGGAATTACTGGGTCCCCCGCCCTATAGCCCTGACTTCGCACCTTGCGATTTTTATTTATTTCCGAAAATCATATATCAAAAGAAAAGAATATAATAAAACTAATAACTTGCTAGTTTGTTCAGTTTTTGATTTTCTAAGAACTTTCAGTGTCACCCTCGTAAATAATCGAAATATTTGCCTTCACTAATTCATGTTCATGTGTTACTAATTAGGTCAAAATTTTCAAAAGAAAGCAATTGTACTAATAACGTACTGTTTTTTTTGTACTAGGTTCGTTTACGTCTTTTATATGTAGTGCGACTGCTAATCATGAGGTCCTGGGTTCGAATCCCGGGTCGGGCCAAAATTTACTATTGAGTTTTTCTGACAAGAAATTCTCAGTAGTTGCCCGGAGTCAAGAAGTTGGCAGTGTCTCACCCCCGTGCCTCGGAAAGCACGTAAAGCCGTTGGTCCTGCGCCTGATCTCTCTCCGGTCGTATCAGTTTACCGTCCCATCGGACTATGAGAGTGAGGGAATAGAGAGTGCACCTGTGCTTGCGCATACACTTGGGCACTATAATCCTGTCCTGCGCCGATGCCTAGCCTCCGTAGAGGCAGGCCGCCGTGGCCTAAATTCGGTCTGGAGGACATTATTACTCATATTTTTAAAAAAAGCATATATCGCCGTTGCACGCCGCCTCCTTTTTTGAAGTCTGCTAAAATAACACGAATTTTCTAAAAATACCTGGAAATAAATATAGTGATATTGCTGAGAAAATAAAACCTAAACAAAATATGTATAACTGATTTAAAAAAAAGGAATAACATGCCTTATATACAATATTTGTATTGTGAATTCCAAGGGGAATATGGGGTGCCCATAGCTATTATAGTTCAAAGAGGCCAGTTCAACAAAACGTTAATTTTATAGGTTTTGAAAATCATTAAATTTTAAAAACTATAAATAACTATATCCTTAGTGTTATTTATTTTATCAAATTCACTAAAATAGTGTTGCACCCCATAAATAATGCCACTAGCGCCATCTAGTATCGAGTAGCAGAACTACGAGAGCTTTCTAGAAAATTCCATACTAGAAATTTCCCGCTAGCGCTGTCTAGTATCGAGTGGCAGAGCTAAGAGAGAACTTTCTACACCTAGTCGGTCAGTCGGTCACGGCGGCCAGTCCCAATGGAGACTAGCCATCGGCGCAGGACAGGATTATAGTGCCCAAGTGTATATGCAAGCACATATAAACTACCTTAGTCTGATGGGACGGCAAACCGACGCAAAACTGAGCACTAGACCTACGAGGCAGTTGATTATACATATTTGAAATAATAAATATTTTTAGAAACTAATCCTAGACACGATCTAAAATATTATATTGTCCTTTCCTTTGCCTCTCACCCGTTTGAAACTAAAATTACAAAATTCCTAAATGATTGAATTTATTATTAAAATATACTTTACAGGTGACGGATTTCATCTTTTTCCTATCAAAATTATTGATTTCCATTGGTGTGGGCTTCGCAGTATACTATCTTCTACAGTGGAATTATGTATATGAAGTTACTCAAGGAGAACGATTACATTATAGCTACATTCCAGCCATAATACTCAGCATAGCCACCTATCTTATATGTACGATATTTTTCAACGTATACTCTATGGCTGTAGATACGTTATTCCTTTGCTTTTGTAAGTACCTACCTACTATATGTCAGTATGTTGCATAAAAGTTAATGTTATTCTAAAACTTAGATTTTAACTTTTATATATTTTAGTAAATGAATAATTTTAATTCATAATATTGAATTCAACTATTTTTAGATAGGTACATAAATTTGAAACATAATATTATAGTTTAATAATTTTATTTGCTATGGGTAGTGTAATATCAATTTTATATATTTTTATTTGTATATTTCAGTGGAAGACTGTGAGAGAAACGATGGATCCGTAGAGAAACCTTATGTCATGTCTAAAAATCTTATGAAGATTCTTGGAAGAAGAAATAAGAAATTTTAAATTGTTAAATATACATTTGTGCCAAATATTAAAACAAAAAAACAAGAGTTGTGAATTTCTATGTGTTGGTACTATAATGTAGTTTCCTTAATTGTAAAATTTTATGAAGGAAGTGTTTAAATTCAATAGCTCCGTGGCAATATTATTACCATATCGAATATCAAATAATATTGAAAAATCTAACAGTTTTGGTCTAGTTCCAATGCACATCTCTGTTTGAATTCCAATTTATTGTACGTAAGTAACGGTCAGACTAGATAAATAGTCAAAGTGCTCTAACATAATCAAGTAGAGGCTGATTAAATTATTGCTTTGTAATAAGTATCGAGCGAGAGAAACTTACCACTAGAAGATTTAATATAAGGTATTTTTATGAAATTAAAATAAGTTGTTAATCATATTTTGAAACGTATTATGAATGTGATGAGATTGTTTTCGATATGCACTTTTAGAAAGTAAATGTAAGTTTTTACTTTTTACATTTATTATACTCACAATTTATAAAGAGGAAATTAATTATTTCTGTCTTTTTTATTTCATTGACTTTCGATATACCCCTAAATTACGGCGAGTTTAAGTAACAGGTATATACATAGGAAATTGCAAATTTTCTGCGTATTTTTTATTCAGGAATGTCACTCAAAGTTTAAAAATCGACTATCCTTTATGTTACATATAGGGACATTTTTTTGTGAATAACGGTGAGATTTATAAAACAGATTTACAGCAAGACGATAAATTCCATAGTGTGGATCAATTTTGCTTAAACTTTTTACTTGCCACGCTAGTTAGCAACACTAGTAGGTACTAGTGATGAATTTTGTATGCAAACATTGAGGAGGTCTCTGATTGGAACGTAGAAATTTCATCGACCAATTCTTTATTCATAAAACACGTGATTGACACAAAGGTTCATTTTAATAATAATGAAAATATGACTTCTACAATTACATTACTAATAAATAAATGAAATATTGTTACACATACATTTACATAGCCGTGGTAGCTCAGGGGCTAACCTCTCGCTGTAAATTTCACAGTACGCGAGCAACCAGCGAGCAAGCTGGGTTCGATCGCAGCCGGCACCAATTAAATTGTAAATTGCAATTTTAAGTGCTGATATACTACGTGCTCGGCGGTGAAGGAAAACATCGTGACAAAAGCTGCATGTCTGAAAAATAAGGAACGTAAAGTTCGCCACAACGTATTGGCGCAGCGCGGCGGACATTTCCTTACACTGAAACCCTCATAAATGAGAGGTCTGTGAGCAGTGGGACGAGAGACGTGTATAGGCGATAACTTTAACGACATTTACATAGTTATCAACCATTATATATCTCTATTAGGTATAATATGTATCTACTTACCTCAAATAATTTACTTTTCTCATTCCAAAACGCAACTTCTTTGGCTCTGTTCCGCTCAGGTCATTATGTCTAAATATTTTATTTCCAGCACTGGATTGATTTTTCTCCAACCTGCACGGTCGCCAGTAGGTCGCAGCTGACTGGCGCGATGTCTCTGAGTGTTCCTCTTCTCAAAAAGAGAGGAGGTATACAATCCTCTCGTTTTTGTTGTTTAATCTTCTAACTACACATTTCCAATGTTCTTACGACCATCATGCTCACGATCTTAAGTTATACTTACAAGCGCTTTTTGCTGACGTTAACAAAAGTACCCGCTATGTTTCTATCAAATTTTTCCCAGGGTGGATTTTTTTTTCTGAACCAGTGTAAAAAGCATAAATGACTTTCAATTAATATTACTCATAATCTATGTAAAAGTAATTATATTATATTAATACTGTGATTGTATCTTTTAATGGTGATTGAAGACATACTTCACGTGTACGCTTTGTGACGCAAATAAAACTATTACAATGAGAGTGTCTTCAAGGAAAGAGTGAATAGGCTTTTGTTAAGTCAGCGCACTTCACCATCTTAAGCTACATCACCACTTACCATTAGATGGGATTGTAGTTAAGCGCTGGCTTAGAACATAAAAAAATCTAGTTTAACTTAACGTAACGTAACTTAGTTTTTCCAATGCATCATCACCCCTGAGGAATATAATCGAATGCTTCGTTACCAGTAAAGGGGACTCCGAAATTCGTCACTTACCATACAAACTCTCTTTCACAGCCCATCTAGTATCGAGTGGCGGAACTGGGAGAGAACTTTCTACACGTAGTTGATCGGGACCGGTATGTGCTCGAGCGTTCTGAATGTTTCAGTAGAAAAGGTATATAAAGGCGTTAAGGACCGCGATCGGGTTGCCATTCCGCCTGTGGCATCGCTTCCGAGCGGTCGCATCCAGGTAGTACGCGCTTTGGTTCCTGTACGGTAGTGCTCCCCGCTCTCGCGCCCCCGCTGTCCCGCTCGCGCTGTACAGCGCCGACGCAGTGCTCAGGCCGCCGGCGGCACCGCTCTCGGACGGTCGCCTCCTGGTGGTCCGCGCTCCCGTACAGTACGGTAGTGCTGTCGCGCTCTCACGCGCCTCCGCTGTCCTGCTCACGCGGAACAGCGTCGAGGCTGCCGGTGAGTCACTTTCTCGCTACAGCTCTTGCCCCCCTGTCTTCGGGCAGGGAGGTCTGACTGACTTCCGCTTTTCATTTTCATTTTTCATTTTCACTTGTCATTTCTTTTTCATTTCATTATCATTTTTTTTTTGTACTGTCTCCTTTATTTTCTTGTGTTCTTGTTATTCTTGTATTACGTGTATAGTGTGTCGTAGTACGTCTCGCGATCTAGTCCCTGTTCTACCGAGAACAGGGACCCGTCCTCATCTTTATTTTTACATAGCTCAGCTTGCTTACTGACCCAAAATGGCCACACCCAGTTTCACTGAGTCCCTCGCCGCCCTCATTAACCAATTCGGTTTAAATGGCAATGAGACGGTCCTCGCCGCCATCGCCACCATCGCCGCCCAGGCTTCCCTCCCTGCCCCTCAGGCACACCATCCGCCGCCGGTAATCGCATCTTACCTCGAAACGAGGAACTCTTTTGCCCCGCTCGAATCTGCCCCCCTAGAAATGGAGTACGCATGCTCCGAGTCCTCGGCGCCGTCCTCCCGGAAGAGGCGCGCCACTACTACAGGCTCCGGTTCATCGGAGTCCTCTGACTCCGACGGAACCGGGGAGTCCACATTCACTGCCGCCAACTCCAAGCGCAACGGAAAGCGCGCCGCGATAAAACGCACCCCGCCTATCTCAGCGGCCCCTGCCGCTCCTCCAACTTCCGCAGCCCCCGCCGCTGCCGCCATCCCGCTCATGTCCCTTGACATCCCAACTCCATCTAAACCTTCCTCTCGATGTGCTCCAGTCCTTGCTAAGAAGCAAGTCCCGCCCCCTGTCTTCCTAAGAGACAAGGCCAAATTCACCAAACTGTCGAAAACCTGCTACGACGCAAGAATTAAGTACGACAATGCTGTCAACCTCGGGGAGGCTATCAAAATCATCCCCAGCTCGATCGAGGATTTCCGAAAACTCACCAGGCTTTTCACAGCCGAACGAGTCTCCTACCACATCTACGCTCTCCCGGAAGAGCGTAAAGTCAGGGCCGTCATACGAGGCGTCCCCTTCGAGTTCTCGAACGAGGAAATACTTGAGGACCTTAAGTCCCAAGGCTTTCCCCGTCGAAGCCGTGCACAAAATGCACAACAGAACGGGCAAGAGATACAACCTTGCCCTAGTAATCCTATCAAACGTGCCGGAGGCTAAAGCCATCTTCCGGCAGGTACGCACAGTGTGTGGCCTGTCAAGGGTGAAGGTAGAGCCCCCACATAGGCCCGGTTTCCCGGCGCAGTGCCACCGCTGCCAACTTTATGGTGCCTAGAGCCACATAACACGAAAGAGTGTCCCCGGCCCAAAGACGCCGAATCCCCGCCCGCTTGTGTCCTGTGCAACCAGACAGGACACCCGGCTAATTACAAGGGTTGCCCACGCGCACCTCAACCTCGCCACAGTAGGCAAGCTCCACCGCCGATGAATGACCGCTCATTCCCGGCCCTCCAACAACGGCCCCGTAGGGCCTTTCTCAGCCCACCCAGGGCTTCTCTCGACCCCTCTCAGGGTCCCCCCTAGGCCCCCTCAGGGCATAATTCGGCCCCCCTCCGGCTTCTCCAAGCCAATGCAGCCTCCAGTCTTTCCCTGGGGGCCCAAAAAGGCAGACCCACCGCGGACAACCTCGTACGCTCATGAAACAGAGCCCACAATCGACGACTACAACACGCTATATTCCGCTATTAGGAATATCGATGTTAGGGAAATAACAGTAGTATCACGCAAACTGCGCGCGGCCAAGTCCCCCCAAGAACGTCTCCTCGTTCTTGCGGAGCACAATAACCTTCTGTTAGCGTTGTAAGTTAGGTTAACTTAATTAACTTAACTTCAATGACTGAGCGAATTAACCTACCAAGATCTCACGGTCGTATCAAACCTAAGGGTTTATCGCTTGTATCATTTAATATTCGCGGCTTGCGAAATAACCTCCCAGAGCTCAAGCTCTTTCTTCGGAATCGTGAAGTCGATTTCCTCCTCCTACAGGAAACTAATCTCAAAGCTAAGGACACTAGAGGCCTTTCTATTAAAAACTTCTCTCTTCTTCGTAATGACAGACCCGACCGCCGAGGCGGCGGAACGGCCATTTATTACAAGAAGACACTTCATTGCTCGCCCATTTCTACTCCGCAGCTTACCAACATGGAAGCCACGGTATGCAGGCTAGCTATGGCTGGACATCAGTCCATCCTCATAGCCTCCTGTTACATCCCTTCAGGAACCTATCCCCTCAAAAAAGATATTGAGGCCATTTTATCCTTGGGCAATTCAGTCATTATGTTTGGAGATTTTAACTCCAAGCATACTGAATGGACGCAGTCTCTTGATATTACCGTCCACAGTCCTCTCGGTGTTACTCACTTTCCCGATAACACCGATCACGCACCCGATGTCTTAGATTTTGCGTTACTCCAAGGAGTTTCTCTCAACCTCAGAGCAATCG